TGTTCCTGTGAGCCTAAATGGCCAGGTGGAATGATGCAGCAGGAACAATCAGGTCAGAGGATTGGAAACACCTGGAAAACATTTGCACTGACACTCTCCTGAGTCAAAAGAACACAACATTCACATTCACAATATCTTGTGAATTCAGCTGAAATTACCTCCTCGCCCCCCACTAAAGTCTGAACCAACCATATCTCATTCTTTGAGATGCAGAACTATCTCCCTACTTTCCTCTCCCATCTTCTCTTCGCTCACACTACTTGTTCTCATCTGTCTTTCTCACATCTTCTCCCATTCTCTTCCCTCTAATAGCAAATAAATGAGCACTTTTGTATTCTAATCTTTCCCTAGAGAAATTTTCCAATCCCACATGTAGGAACAACTGAACAACTGAGTTTTTTTCACACTTCTCACTGAGGCAGGGGTTCTCAACCTTTCTAATGCCCATGTTGTTACAAATTGAACAAAGGGTCACAACCCACAGGTTGAGAATCGCTGCACTAATGCAAAGGCCAAGGGAGACCCTTCCCTTTCATTCTTTGACATAAATGATATATTCAAAAGAGAAAGGCATACAAAAAATCACTAATGTGCTCCCTGTATGGTGAAATCACAGAGATCTAGGCCAACCTCCCCCTAGGGTACAGAAGGTTAAGGACTCTTTTTCATAAAGAAGAGATGGTGATATACACCATGCTCATGAAGGCCAAAAAGTGATTAGAAAATGAATGGACCAGGAGGAAATAAACTATTTTGCAAAGGATTCTTTTAGGAATCTGAATGAACTTGAAAGACAGAAATTTTGTTGAGGAAAAAAATCATCCTCCAATAATGACTCGATTTTCCAATTGCACTGGGTAAGGTGGTAACAGGAAAGCAATAGAAGGCATCTGTTTTTATTTTATTAAGAAGCTTTTTTGTTGCATAAGGACATTTTAGAGAGTTCATCTCTACTCTTGTGGGTGAGGGAAGCAATCAATACTAAGTTATAAGGATCTGGATATTCAGGCTAATTTCGGAAAAGCTTTTCCATTTTTAAAAACACTCAGCATGCCTAAGCTACAATTTGTAGAAGAATCATTTCCTGTGCCCCAACATCAACTTAGCGGGACACGAAACTTAGGCTTAACTAGGGTGACCAGATTCTAACATCTGTAAGACGGGACAACATGGCCAGGGGGCAGAGCGGGGGTGGAGCGGGGGCGGAGCCGGCGCAGGGCAGGGCCTGACAACAAGGCAAACTTTGATAAGTAGTTCTTGATAATCACTTCTCAGCAATTATTTATTACAGTTTAACATTATAAAATTAACAAAAATAATATAAAACTCATATTCTGACGAAATAGCCATATGGCGGCCGAAAACTTTATATTCCCTTCTTATTCTCCAGCCCGTTTGTGCATTCTTTCCAAAAATCAGGACTTTTTTAAAACGCCGTGGGATGAGGGACAAATTGTTGAAAAGCGGGACTGTCCCACCAAATTTGGGACGTCTGGTCACCCTAGCTTACCCAATCACAAACTGCTAATTCTCCTCAGGTTAAAAAACCAGGAAAGATTCACCTGAATAGTTCAAATAAAGTGAAGGAATAACCGTACACAGTCAGTTCTTGAATTTGGTTTGGTCCCTTTTGCACCTTGTAAAAGCCTTTCCTTCAATCACCCTTCACCTCCAACCTGGAGCCCCCGAATTACAACTCACGGCTGAGGGTTCTGCTATTCACAAATTGCTGTTTGTTCCAAAAATTAAACTCTTTAACATTTTAACATTACCTCAGTTTATTTTAATGAAAACTGGAGGGATTGGGGGTCCCACTGGCCATAGCCCTTCCCTTGAACTAGCCCCATACACCCAGTTGAAATTCTACCCTGAAGATCCTTCCATTGTCACCACATTGGAGGGACATAGTCCTGCAGGCAAACAGCTGCTCAGAGATTGCTCTGGGATGTGGTCTAAGTAACCACTTGAGGAAGTAGCAGGATGCCCATGGTCCCAGCTGCCTGTTCAACAGCAACCTTAGTCAAGAGGGTTCCAAGGGGTGCCAGTGGCAAACTACTGTTTTAAGATTTCAAAGCTAAAGTGACATGGCACCTGATCCAGCTACAGCCAATTTGTCTCATCCAGACAGCTCCTAGTCTCAGGACACCTTGTCCAATCTACTCACCATTTCTCTGTTTCCAGGGTGTCCTTCCAACTTCTCTACAGGTCTCCCAGGACCTGAGGTCACAAGGTGAGAGAAACTGCAGCAGAAATACCTGGGTCCTCCAGGAAATGCCACAGTGAAGAGGAGACCACAGCTTGGTGCCCAGAGGAAGAGGAAAACCCTGCCCCAGATCCTGGATCCATCTCTACTTTCAGACTGTGGGACTGATTGGATAATTGTTAATGCAGCATTCCTGATTGGACAGGGCCTCAGATACCACCCCTCTGGCCTTGAGTGACAAGAGATACAATAAGACAAGAAGCTGAATGAGGCCAGAATCCCAACAGTTTTTGTCTAGTTTATTGGTTTTTTTTTTTTGTTGTTGTTGTTGTTTAGGACAGGAAACATAATATTATTCATCTAGATATTTCACGGCCACCTACTTACCACAGAGTAGCTGTTTAACAAATGTCAACTGAATGAATGAAAATATATTTACTGAGTGTTTATGTTGTCCTAGGCTTGAGAACCCAATTATAAGATTTAGACCCTGCTTTTGAGGCATTGTCTTTTTCTTTTATCTTGTTTTTCTTTTCCTCTTTTTTTTTTTTTTTTTTTTTCTGAGACAGTCTTACTTTGTGGCAAAGTGGGAGTGCCGTGACATCTTAACTCACAGCAAACTCAAACTCTTGGGCACAAGCCATTCTCTTGCCTCAGCCTCCTGAGTAGCTGGGATTACAGGCACCTGCCACAGCACCTGGCTATTTTCAGAGGCCAGAGACGAGGTCGCCTTCTGGCTCAGGCTGGTCTCAAACCAGTGAGCTCAGGCAATCCACCTGCCTCAGCCTCCCATGTGCTAGGATTATAAGTGTGAACTACCATGCCTGGCCTCAGGCATTTTCAATATATGTCATGATATCTGGATAAAAACATGTACAGGAATAATTTAGTAACTACATAGATAAATGCTTTTGTTACAAGCAAAGGCTGTGGCTGTTTTGAGGGTTAAATTCCTGCTAGTCTCTGGTGAGGGGATTGGCAATCCCAGAAGGCTTCATGCAGGAGGTGGCATTTACGCTCCAAAATGATAGGCAAAATGTAGTGGTATATGGTACACCTCCTGGCTGAAGGGCTCCACTACTACTTGGACTTAACGTAACAGAGGCTATAGTTCCTTTTATGCAGGCCTCATGCCTGCTCTGGGAGGCAGTTCTGCCTGGAGGATATTTGGTATTTATCCCTGAAAATGAATTATATCCTTTCATAAATCTTATATATATGGATATGGATGTATATGTATATATACACATATGTATACATATAGAGTAAATATGTGTTTTTCAGAAATGGAAACAACATACTAACAATAATTTGAAGTTTGAGATTCTTTTATTTATTTTTTGCCATTTTAGTCTGGGGCTGGGTTTGAACCCACCACCTCCAGCATATGGGGCCAGCGCCCTGCCTTTGAGCCATAGGCACCACCCCTGAGATTCTTTTTTATTTACCTGGACTCTGGTCTTTTGAGAAGGCAGCCTGACCTTTCAAGATGGAGGCAGATCTCTAATGAAGCATGTCCAGTAGAAATAAAAAGTGAGCCACATGTGTCATTTCAAACTTTTTCTAATAGCTTCATAAAAGAAAAGAGAAATAATTAGGTTAACTTGATTGTTATATTTTATTTAACACAATATATCCAAAATATTGTTTTGCTATTTAAATAGGAAAAAAGATATTAACGAATTACTTTGTTACTTCTGTATCTTTGAAATTCATTCTATGTGTTAAATTTAGAGCAGAGCTCTAGTCAGAACAGCATGTGGCCAGTTTCTGCTAAGCTGAAGTGCAGCTCTGACTCCACTAACCTTAGAGAAGTGATACATGAACTACCCATATTTTGTCAGAAATACAGGGTCCTTTCTTTCCACCATCTCTTTTCTTTTTTCTTTCTTTTTTTTTTTTTTTTTTTGGCCAGGGCTTGGTTTGAACCCACCACCTCTGACATATGGGGTCGTGCCTTACTCCTTTGAGCCACAGATGCCGCCCCCCCATCCCTTTTCAGACCAAGGGTGGGAGGGACAGGGCCCAAAGAGGGAGCAGGGGGGTTCAAGCATGAAGTGTCCACTGTTAGACACACACTTGCACACACTGCTTTGTGGGGACCCATCTCCCTGCCAGAAATCATACACTGAACAACAATTAATGGGGCCACTAGAGGGAAGAACTCCAATATTTTGGTTATGTAACTCTGCAAATACACTTGAAGTGTAAGATATACACTTGATTCATGTGACCACGGTGACTGGACAGGCCAGGCTGGGTGCAAGATCTAGCTTTTTGAGAGGTACCTGAACTTGGATAAGTACATTCACAACCTCTGGGGATTAGTGACACCCCCAACTAATTAACTCCACCAACCAGGCCTTGAGTCTTCAAAATGAACACTGGTTCTCCTCCTGCTGTGATCTGCACCAAGCAGCAGACACTTTGGAGTTGAACAGGGTAACCAGAGAGGTGGAGAAGTATCTAGAGAAGTGGCAGCTAAGGCTGGGCTGGCCCTGCACCTGTGTGGGACTCAGCACCTGGGTGTGGGCCTGGTACATCACAGGGCTCCTTCTACTTTAACTTCTAGAAGACGCCCTGCTGTAACTCACACACTGCTAGGAAAATATGATAGTGTCATCAAGGTGAGAATGACATTTCTCAGTACCACCCACAAAGACAATCCTGCACAAATACTTTTGGAAACGACACTGTCCACGCCTGGAGGGACATTTAAAGTGTTCTATTCCCAATTCTAATGCCAAACTCTCTGCTACTAATTCATCTACAATTGTCACACTCAAATCTGGTGACAAACCTCAAAATTGACTACTACAATCTGCAAGAGAAGTTTTTTGTTATTTCTTATGTGCTATACGAATATGTGAAGGTTAATTAGCAGTATAACTATAAATAATAATGCTGCCAGTCTCCTTCAGACAAGAAACTTTATAGAAAATGGTTAAATGTATTAGGTAAATAACAGGTCTTTATCTACAAAAGATGAGACCATTTAGGTTTTTGTTTGAGGAAACTAGGATTTTAAAAGATATGTTTGAGGGGTAGTATAATCCATGTATGATGGTTCAGAGCAGGCTTTGGAGTTGATAGCCTGGAATTCTAATTCCAGTTTCAGCAATGCTCTGATACTCTGAGCTTCAGTGTTTCTTCTTGGAATAAAATGGGCATGAGTTCTGCTTGCCATGACTGTTATGACATTGCATATAAAAAATGCTAAGTAAATAGTGGCTGTTATTAACCCTGTAAACAAAAAGAAAAAGATTTTTTAATGAAAAAGGGATAATGAGCAGTATGTTACACATTTTTATTAAAACATTTCATTTTTGTTATTCTAGCATTATGATAAAAATGTACAAATTTGCACAATAGTAGAAATATTTATATAATGAAACCCGTCACAAGTACTACCAATCAAGATGCTTCCAAAATTTTTACTATCTCACCTTTACATGAAAAAACCAACTTCAGTCACACTAGTCACATAAAGCAAATATAACAGACCACATTATTTCTTCTTTTTTTCTTTTCTTTTCTTTCTTTTCTTTTTTTTTTTTTTTTTT